CCCACTTCAGTTCAGTAGTGCCAATGAAATTTGTGCATCTACCCCCACTTACCCCCAAACCCCCTTTTTAACTTTATTTTACTGTTTTAACGGGATGTTTCCATGAGTTTCTTGTCTCATCGTCATTTGCTCGCTTGCATATGATCAGGGCTGGACAACATGCTTTTGCGCATCCAACATCACCCTCAACGTACCCCCTCCCCCTTTAAAAATACCCCCACAATGTCCGAATCCCCGCCAGAAAAGCTAGAGACACGCGGTTTTCTCCTATGCCTGAGCACACACAGTGAATATATCGGTACAGGTGTTCCATAGGACCCACTTAACACACATTGGGTGGGGGGCAAATGCATTTCAACCCCCATCCCCCCCAACACCCCTCCATTAAGACGAATTTTGCATCGCGCGTCGCTTTTATACACTTCGTGCTAGAGACTCGACTTCGACCTCATTTTGTGCGTAACCCCCAACTTCAATTCCGTAGCGTCGGTTTAACTCGTGCATCTACCCCCACTTATACCCCCTGACCCCCCATTTTATATTTCTCTTTGACACTTTGAGCGGAGTGATTCTTTAGGTTGCTGTCCCATTGTAATGTGCTCGCTTTTACATGAGGTAGCTAGAAGAGCAGACCCTTAGGTTTTCAATGTCGGCCCCATCATACCCCCTACCCCCTTTACAGGTACTCTCACTAACGTACAGACGCCACTGTACAAGCTCTTTTAAGGCGGGGATTCGGACATTGTGGGGGTATTTTTAAAGGGGGTAGGGGGTACGTTGAGGGTGATGTTGGATGCGCAAAAGCATGTTGTCCAGCCCTGATCATATGCAAGCGGGCAAATGACGATGAGACAAGAAACTCATGGAAACATCCCGTTAAAACAGTAAAATAAAGATAAAAAGGGGGTTCGGGGGTAAGTGGGGGTAGATGCACGAATTTCATTGGCACTACTGAACTGAAGTGGGGGGTTACGCACAAATTGGTGTCGAAATGGAGTCTCTAGCACAAGGCGTACGTGAGTGACGTGCAATGCAAAATTTGAGATTTTGGAGGGGGGTTTGGGGGGGATGGGGGTCGAAATCGTTTTGCCTCCTCCTCGATATAGGTTCAGTAGGGTCTAAAGCACAACTGTGCAAAATTTCAAATCTCTAACTCAAAATGCAAAGTTGAGGCCAAAATTTCCCCACAGCGTCCCGACTAGTGTGCGCTGGCCTGATGTTGTTGTCCATCTCTCTCTCACTTGTTTCCCTCTCCCGAGCGTGCATCGTCTCTCACTCTCTCTCTGGCGCGCGCGAGTGGCCAACGCGAGCCTTTGTGACGCGACCTACCCCAAATGACGCTGCTGTGTTGAAAAACAATTACCGCGACGAGGGTGGGCAGCGCATAGCTGGGCGCAGCTCGCCAGACCGTCTGCTATACACCTGATCGTGCGTCACAGTTGGGAAAAATAATTCCCGATTGTGTTTCAAATGTTACTCTGCTAAACTGATTTTTTTTTTGCTGCCGTTAGACTGTTGTTAACTTTGTTATTTCGGCCGCAAAATGTTTAGTCCTTATAACTTAAGTCTATAGGGTGTTGGTGTGAAACCAGGCAACCACACATTTGTTCCTGGAGCAAGCAATTTAGCCTGACCAAAACGTTTGGTCTCTGTGGACTAAATGTTTAGTACCCTAGTAAATGTTTCTCTCATAGCTTCATGTTTCGCCATAATATGCAGTACTGAGTGTCGAGCATTTGGGCCCCTGCTGGAGGTGACTGCCCGCCCGCCCACCCGCTCACGGATTATATTATAATGTGCTTGTTTGTCTGTGTGCAGGTGTTCTCCGAGGCGCAGGTGTTCTTCAGCGTGGGCGGGCGCCACTTCAACGGCCAGCCCATCACGTACACGACCATGGAGGACCGCATCTTCGAGAGCTCGCGCAACGTGTCCATCAAGCTGCACCACCGGGTGGGCCGCTTCGTCAAGCTGCGGCTCCACTTTGCCGCCAAGTGGATGCTCATCTCGGAGATTTCGTTCGACTCATGTGAGTATTATTTAAATAAAATTACAAGCTAAAAAAAATGTGAGATAAGAAAGTAGAAGTGGGGTAGTCAAGTTCTTGTGGGAAAATTCTTAAAGATCAAAAAATAAAAACATGTTTTTGTCACTATAGATTTTCTAGAAAATACATAGAAATTGCCAGAAAATTTTCCTGGCGATTGTTTCACTATAATGGGCAAGATATTTTCTGTCACGAAAAACTCTCAAAAATGTGTGGCTTGTTTCCATTGTCACCACCTCGAAGTAGATGCGGGCGCCTCTTGACTGCGGCTGATTCGATTACCTTTTGCCTGGTGGGCTGGAAGCGGCGGGGGCGGTGGGGGCGGCAGCGGGGGCGGCGGGGACGGTGCCGCGTCGCGCGTGCGGCCCTGTAGTGCTGCGGAGGTGGCGGCCGTTGTTGTGTCGGCGGCAGTAGTAGTCGCGGTAAACCGTGTGCTCTGGCGCCAGAGAGGTTGCATTTAAATGAGCAATTAGCAATTCATTGGGGAAACATTTGCAGTTGTACGACGACTACCACTACTACTAATACTGCCGCCGCCACTGTGCTTGCTTGCCCTAATTATCTTGGAATCGGGGCGACGCCGCGCCGAAGCCCCCCCCCCCCTCCCCCTCTTTTCTCTGTAACTAGCCGCGTGTTCGAAAAAGTTTGGCCAAATTTGAATATCAAACAAGCAGTGGGCTGCAGACTTGGTGGTCTGCTTGCTCAGTCTTTTTCACTCGCGCGTATTTTTTTTAGCGGTAGAACGCGTTTACTGCTGTTGTTGAACACAAAACAACACGGTTGCGCGCGCGCGTCAGTTTTTGTTTTTATTCTTTGACTTTCTTTCGGTGTTCCTCTTCTTTTTCCTCCCCCTTTCTTTTACCTCACCGTGTTGTGCGCGCAATTGGGTGTTACTGTTGGACCGCTGCATAATCTGGGCTTCTCCGTCTGGACTTGTTATTTATTAACGGGGAAGGGAAGGTGTGAAGAAGGAACAACCCACCGGGATGGGGTGAAGGGGAGTGCCGAGAAATTAAAAAGAAAGAGATCGGGCCGACGCCTTTGTCTGTGTGCATACTGTTTTCCCGCTTTTTAAATTGAATCTTTTTTTTTTCTTTTTCGTGCGGGAGTGTATAAATCGTTTTGGAGGTGGGGGGTCGCCGGGGTCGTGGTGCGGTGGCCGCTTGGTAGCGTTATGTGTTGTGGGTGGTGGGATTAAGGCCAGTGCAGGTGCCGTGCTCGATAGTGGGGGACGAGCCCTGCTCGGGGGCGGCGGCAGGGAAGGGGAGAGTTAAAGTGTTTGGCTAGGGGCCAGCCGGGGACGGGCCGGGGGCGGCCGGGGCCACCCCCACAGTGGCAACTAGTTATTATGAATAGAGTTGTAAATGCGGACGGCCTGCAGCGGTGCGTGTGGCACGGTTGCACCGCAGAGAGAGAGAGAGAGAGAGAGAGAGAGAGAGAGAGAGAGAGAGGGAGAGAGAGTGAAAAGTGTGTGTGGATGGGCGAGAGAGGAAGGTTTGATCGCGGCCTCATATTTCTCGCGCCGTTTCCACCTATATCGCTCTCTGTCGCACTCACTGCTTCGCCGCTATGATGGCCTGTCGCATAGCGGTCGCCCTCGGGGGACCGATGAGGCGTCGGCCTGGGTGCCCTCCGCTCCGCCTCCACCACGTAAATCTGAGGTTGATTCGGGGCAAAAAGTGTACATCGTGGTGCTGCGTCGTGCGCGACCCGACTCAACGCGGATGCTGGCTGGCCGCTCGCCGCTGGCGAGCGCACGGCGTCGAGGTGCTGTTATTTGTGCTGTTTATTGTGAAGCGCGCAGCTGTTGGGGGGCGCCAAACTCGGTACTTACAGGCCGTGGGTCGTTTGGACAGGTGTTGCTTTCCGGTCGAGTTGCGAGATCCTCGCCCGGGCCGCACCACGCAGTCCCGCGCACCCCGCCAAAGATTGCCGCTGCCGCAGCAGCAGCAGGTCCAGGGGCCTAAGTCGCCGACAAGCCGCTTACCGCTAAGGCCAGAGCCAGTCTCGGGCCCAAGCTGCTGCTCCGGGCCGCCAGGGGGGTCAGCGCAGCCTGTGGGGGCCGCCCCTCTTGGAAGTGGGCCGGTGTGTGTGTGCGTTTGTGAACCTGGCCGAAATAAGGTTCTGGCGGGTTTGGCACCCGTCCGCGGGGGAAGTGCCAAAGGGTCGGTGGGTGCGGTGCCAGCGCGGCCGGGGCTGACTAGGCTGCACCCGCCGCCCGCCCCTGCCGACCGAAAGTTTCAATTTGTCATATCGGCCATGGGGTCGGTCGGTCGGGGCCAGGCTGGTTAGGCCGTCGTGGCTGCCCTTGGCACGCGCACCGCGCGCCCAGCAGGGGGTGAACTGAAAGACGAGGTGCAGGAGCAGGAGGGTGACGATGACGTCGGCCAAGAGGGAGGCAGTCGGACAGAGGCTGCAGCGGAGCAGTTGGTGTGTTCTTTTTGCTCCAGCAGCTCCCTTTCATCTCTCCCTCCTTCTCCTCCTTCGTCCTCTCCAAGCTGCTTACCACCGCCACTACTTTTTGCGCTGCGAGGGGCGCCACTAATAGTGCAGCTCCCTGATAAAAGCCGCCGCCGCCGCCGCCTGCCGAGGAGGTGGAGCAGGGCAGGCTAAGAAGACTTACGGATCGCCACGCGCCGACACGCGTCGGCCAAGCCGAGAGAGGGAGAGAGTTTGGAAGCGAGCGAGGGAGTTCGGGAGCGCTGCAAAGGCGTGTACGACGCACTGGACGCGGTGTACGGTGTAGGTCCGCTAATGGTCCGGGCACGGGATCAGAAGGTTGAATCCAACTAATATGGAGGAGCCTGACTCGGAATCGCGCCCCGCGTTTAGTCCATACGCCATTAATGTGTGTATACGAGGAGGTCGATGAATATAAGTTGTTGCTCTGAGCAGATTTCTCCGTTGCGCGTCGAAGTCGCGCGAAATTGGCACAATCCCCCCGGAGGGAGAGGGGGGGGGGCGCATCCTCTATTCCGAGTTATAGTTATTGTTGTTTTTGTCCTGCCTTTCTTTTCTTTCATCCCTACGATGAGGAGCAGACCGTCTCCAACTTAGCCATCTCATCTTGCTGCTGGCTGAGACTTTTCGTATGTCGACATCCGGCCGAGCGTTCTGTTTTCTCGTTTCCCCTCTCCCCCCGCCCCCCTCTTTCCCTCTAACGCTGCCGCTCCACAAACTCCATCATTTCATTCATCTTCAATCTCTGCGCGAACCGCCCCACGATGAGTATCCCCTCATCCCCCACCCTACTGTTCTCTCTCTCTCTCTCTCTCTCTCTCTCTCTCTCTCTCTCTCCCGTCCCTCTCCTCTCCCTCGGTGGCGACTGGCTGCGGCGCGAGTCGTCACATAACGAAGTTTGTTTTACGTGCCCTGGCAGGCGGGCACGGCAGAGGCAGGCAGGCAGGCCCCCGGCCGGGGCCCTTGTGAAGGCGGCTAATCTTATTTGACATTGTAATGCCGCGCCTTGCTGGAGACGGGCGGGGCGGGGCTGACAGTTGTTCTGGTAGTTGTAATAAGGGGGGGTTCCCCTAACGAGGTTGCGCAAATATTCGTACAGCTTATTAAAGGTGGGGCGGCGCCCCTTGTTAGAGAGGTCAGTGTCTCCTGCCCCTGCTCTCTACTACCTTTGGGCGTATCCGCTGGGAGAGAGAGAGACGGAAATAGGAGTTGGAGAAGCTGGTGCAGCAGTCTCGCGCGGTGCCTGCCCCCCGCCCGCCCGGTCGGTGTGAGCCGCCCGGACGCCGCCCGGTGCGCCAGATACCCGCCCGTCGCGCACCGGCGCGCAACGGGACTGCCTACCCTGCAGGCGCTCCGCACCGCTGCTGCCGCCGCCCGGCCTGAGCCTGAGACTGTGGTGTGGCAGCGGTAGCTAGCTAGCTATAGCTAGCCTGGTAGCCAGCGGTAAAGCATGTTTCTGCTCCAGATACGCCGGTTAAGCGGCGGGCGGGCCCGGGCGGGGGCGAATCGGGTTTGCGGTGGCGCGCTAACTGGCATGTGCCTAACGCGATTACCGGTCGCTCTCCTCCCTTCCCCTCCTCTCCGCTCTCCTCCCCTCTGCTCTCCCGCCCTCCCCGGATGGAGCCCGCCGCCGCCGCCGCGCCGGGGGGCTGCGGGTCCTGTCATCCGGTCTGCGGGAGCAAGGGGCGCGGGGAGAGCTCTCCGCCTCCCCCGAGCAGGCCGTCATGGAGGCCTACACCCCTGCTGCAGGCCGTTGTATGCGAGATCAGCACTGGTTCTGCCGCTACCACTACTAGTCGGCGGTTTCCGGTGGGGGGTGGTGGGCGCGAGCTGGTGTGTGCACAGAACCGCAGAGCAGTCCATCTGATATGCGCGCGCGAGGGGTGCCGCCCGCTGCGCGAGCCGTGTAACATGTTTATCCGAGGAGTTCTTCACTCTAAAAAAAGAAATGTACACCCGCCAAAACAAATAGGAAAAAATCGAAAAAATTGTATTCAAGTTAAATCCAGAATTTCCTTAATCTTATTTTTTCCCTAAGAACAGAAAAATCTGTGTACGCTTGGACCTCGTGCTATTTACTGTCGCTGTTGTCCGTCTGACCTTGGCGTTATTGTTTCTGTTGCAGCGGTGGCGCACGGCAACTTCACGCCCGAGCCGGCCGAGACGGGCGACAGCACGGACCAGCAGCGGGACGTTTACGTCGAGAAAGATGCCAAGGACCGGCCGCACACCAAGACGCCCGTGGCCTCGGCCGAGGACGAGGACTCGACGTACATGGCCGTCATCATGGGCGTGCTCATCGCCGTCATCCTGCTGCTGGCGGCCGTCATCTTCGTGATCGTGTCGCGGCACCGCAAGCGCAAGTGCTTCGCCTCGCCGCTCAACTCCAAGAGCGCCCTGCCGACGTCGCACGCCGCGCTCTCCGCCTCGGAGAAGGCCGTCGGTGCCGGCGCCGGCGGCTCGTCGACGGGCTGCGGGACGCTGAGCGGCGCCTACGGCGTGCGCGAGGTCGGCGCCGGCGGCCTCGTCGACGGCTACGGCCACGTGCACGGCGCGCCGCCGCCGCCCGGCGGCCTCGGCGGCGACATGGACCACCTGCTCGAGGGCAAGCTCGACGACTACCAGGAGCCGTACCAGGCGCTCAAGTACGCACCGTACTACTCGTACAGCACCGTGGTGATGGAGCTGGGCGACCAGCTCACCAGCAAGTCGGCCTCCACCCCGTCCGGTGAGTACGCGCCCCGCGCGGCCGCCGCTGCTGCCCCGCCTGGTCGGCCTGGTCTCACCCCCGGCCTCCTCTGCCTCCCTGCAGACACCACGTACGACTACGCCGTGCCCGAGTCGGGCGGCGGCATCCCGCTGCTCAGCCCCGAGGCCGCGCTGCCGCTGCCGTCGTCGCGGGCCTCGGACAAGGGCAGTCTCTTCTCCAAGAGCTCGTCCTGCAACGGGTCGCGGTCGGACGACGCCAAGAGCAGAACGGTGAGTACCTCCTATGCGAGTGTGTGAGAGATTTTGTGTATGAGAAGTTTCCTGCATGTTATGCGCGGGGCATTAAACATTTAGTCTCCAGACCGTAAGTTTTTGGACGCACTAAACTTGTCTCTAAATGTTTTGTTCTCAAGGAACAAAAAGTTTTTAAGCGGCCGGGGCTGCTGAAAAGCAAAAACGCGTTAAACACAACCTTTGGCGGAAATATTTTTGCCAGTGTGCGCGGCGCGAGGTGGGCGCGTTCTTATTCGGCTCGGCTCGTGCGCCCTTCCACACTTTGGAGCGGGCAAGGGGGGTGGGTGGTGGTGGAGATGTGATGCATGGTGCGATGGTGATTGTGGGGACCAATAAATTAATTAGTAGGTTAACGAGCTGGCGAAGGGTAAAAGGAGAAACGGGGAGAGAGGGGGAGGATGGAGAGGGGGGTAGCACTGCGGCGCGCCCTCTGCCGTACAGAGGAGGCCTGTGCCGGCAGCGCCTTGCGATATGAAGGTGGAGCAGGGGGCGGGGTAAAGGTAGGTGGAGGGGAAATGGAAGGTATGGTCGGGAAAAGGAGTTGGTTGCGGGGAAAAAATAAGGTTGGGGTGGTTGGTGAGGGAGGGGGGGGGGGTAAGAAAATTCCATACCATCACCGCGTAACTGATTCCGTACACGGAAGCCTTGGCCGCGAGTTTAGCCGCACGCCGCTGCTATGGGGTTGGGTGGGCGGGGCAGCCAGCCCCGGTGGCACATTATTTCTATTTACCCATTTTTTTGGTTCGCCCCCTCTCTCTCTCCCTTTCGTTCTCTCTCTCTCTAGCTCTGTCTCTCTCGTATCGTTATTGCCGATGGATGATCTGAGCGCTAACCAAGAAGAATATACCCACCATAGCACGGGAGGGGAAGGGGTGGGGGGAGGGTGCGCTGCGATTGAAATAAATGTGGCGCCGCACGTGCGAGGGGCCGTCTCTAAGCAAGCTGCTGCTGCTGCATAGCGGTGTGTGTGTGATTGAGTGATGGTCCCTCTCGGCCGGCACTCTCTCTGCTCGGTGGTGTGTCCGCGAGGTGCGGCCGGGCGGAGAGAGAGAGAGAGAGGAGCAGGGGGGGGATAGGCGGGGAGCGGGGGCGTGATTGCAAGGGGCGGGGCGGGGCGTAGTGGGCTGGCGACACGCGGTCGGTAATGGAGGAGAACGAGGGAAAAGGAAGGCAAGCAGCGCAGCCACCCCTAAGGCCTCGCCCCGCCACGCTCCGCCGACACCATAGCGCAGCAGCAGCGCCTGGCCCATAACCATCTATAGAACTAGCTCTTGGCTAGGCCAATATGGTCTCGTAGAAGTGAAAAAGAAAAAGAAAAAAAATAGGAAAGAAATTTGGTGTTAAAATGTAGAAGTTGTGACAGTTTTATAAATCACTTGTTCAATAAAAACGAAATTCATGTAAAACTAAAAAATATTATTTCAGAAAGCTTAAAAGAATACTGATAAAGAAATAACTGTGCAAGAGCACACTTTATTTTCTTGTTCCCCCCAATTCTTGACTATTTCAGCTTCAAAATATGGTAATTATTAATATGGATAATAATAAACGTACAACATGCAGGATCTAAATTGTTTTATTTTATTTAGATATTAGACATAAATAACAAATTGTCAATTCGAACAATACGTTCAAACAAAAAACGTACAAACAAAAAATTAAACTGAGGCATAGAGCCAACTCTAAATTACTTCATTAGAGCACAAACAAAAAAAAAAAAAAAAAAGGAAATCAAAAGAGAGTGACAAACTAAGAAGATCGCTGCCGCTTCATTGGGGAAGGCGAACCAGCAAAGCCAACGGTCCCACAATTAGCACAAGTCACTGTAAAAGAAAACAAACGTTAATGAAATACTCATTGATAATAAAAATGGACTGTTAAAATGAAGTATACTTACAAGGCTTGCCATCGGACGTAGATTTCTGTACTACATGAACAGAATCTAAACATAAAGAAACATAATTAGTTGCAAATAAAGCATTTCGGTAAAGCTAAAATGCTGAAGAATGCAGAAAACAAGAAAACAGAAATCACCATGCTTTCACATGCTTACTTCTGTTTTCTTGTTCTATGCATTATTCTACATTTCAGCCATTTCAGCTTTACTGGAAAACTAAATTGAACACCACACAAATGTTTGAGAAAACATTAAATCGCAAGCACAATGTCTTTGAGTTGTAGTGCAAACAAATAGACAAACAGAAAAACAATCCAGTCCATACCATTCCATTCCATTTCCTGTCGTGTCTTTGTCAAAATCGAAAAAACACAAGAAAGGGGAAAGGAACCGCACTGATAAGAATTCTACCAAAATATTAGCCATCAAACACTTACAATCATATTTAGGAAGATTGGAGGAAGCTCCAACAATGTCACACACTACTTGATCATATGTTACTCCACCATACGATACAAGATACAATTCAATTCCAGCCTTCAAATCAGCGTTCATTTGGGTAAATCTGGCTGAATCGAGTCTGCCCAACTTGCCAGACACATAAATCATCAAATTTGAATTCTCATTGTATTTGACAATGATTCGATTTGCCATCTCCTCTGAATTGTTCTTCTTGACCCGCTCTCCATGAACAATACTAAATTTCACATTCACAGGCAGTTGCCACGCTCTAGAGAACACGGAGTTTAAGTGGGTTGTTCCAGCTAATTCAGCAAGTGACTCTAGGAAAGACATCTGCAGCAGTACAATGACGAAATTACTACACGTGCAATGAAAGGTTAGCTCATGTCAAGACTTAACAACCACGAAATAAAAATGAACCAAATGTTGGAGACAAACCCACATGTCAAATGTACAATCCAACCGTCAAAATCAGCACGTGGTGCGTGTGCGTATCACACAATGGAAAATCGGAAAATGACACCTTACCGTGACAGTCCAGGCAGAAAAGTGACAGCTATTAGTGATCGCGACGCGAAAGAAACCTGTTGCACGATCGTCATTTGTTGAGTGTGTTCCAGGATTCCGAAACGCTTCCATACAAGTGATAATTTCACCAATTATATTATTACAACCTACACAGTTTAACAAATATTTTATCAAAAACACATTGACGGGAAATTTGTATTAAATATATATTTTTTAAACTGTGTAAGTTGTATTTATTTGTTAGTTAATGTTGTATTACCTAGGTGGAAGCATTTCAGACTTTTAGAACGTACTCAACAAGTGACTATGAAGAAGCAGAAGTCTTTGCGTTCACAAAACAAAAACAAATATCTGTCACTTTTGTGTCTGAAGTCTGTTTGCTATATGTATATATGTATGTATATGAATTGTTGATGTATATATTACCCTGTCACAAGCAGCAACAAAAAGAACATCAACTTCAACTCACCCACCTAACGTGTTTCTAACAATTTAAGAAACTTTTCGAATTCATTCCTCCTTTTCATATCAACAAAGTTTTTTAAATTTGAAATGCGGGTGAATTGAAAAGGTTCCAATGCAAGTCCTGCTAAAGTTTTCACACGAGACATCCCTACGTATGCATTACCCAATTGGAACTCTTTCTCTTCTATATCAACAGCTGCCTATTTAATAACATTTGATTAAGTTACATGTACTGTCAAGAAAACCGTTCATACCATTTGCTATTCATTTAAAAACATGTTAATGTTATAATACCTTTTCTAATGTTACACCTTGAGATTTAGCTATAGTTATAGCATAAGCCACTGATAGGGGAAACTGTTGCCTGGTATATGAATAACCATTAGTGCTCCAAGACGCTGTAACAGATGGGATTGGCACCAAGTTTAATGGACCAACTCCAGGGCCAGTACGATTTGGAAACTTTCACATAACCATTTCTGGAAAATTTTCTGGAGGACATTCATCAGGTTTGTATACAATGTCAACAACTTCTCCAACTGCTCCATTGACAAGTCCTTTTTCAGTCCAAAAATTTCTTTTGAGCATAATAATGCAACTTCTTGACAAATAAATAATCTTTTCCAGGCCTTCTGCTGTGTCCACTGATGCTTTAGAAGCTGCACTACTATTGTGTTTTGCACAAATTTTAGCAATAGGTTTCTCATTACCTTCTTGGTCTTTTGCCAATTTTAAAACATTTGAGTTAAAATATGACACCATTTTTCTTGTTGAGTATAGGTGCATAGCATTTTCAAAATCCTTCATGTCACCAATATTAGTAAAGAACCGCTGAGATAAAATGCCATAATCATCTATTGTGCTTTCACCAACACTTAACCGGTCCAAAATACCAAGAAAAATGTTGTCATTCTGACGAAAACACTTTTTTAAGATAAAACATTTTTCAAATTCTTGAATTAAAAGCTTTCCCTTGTGACCCATACCAAAAGGGGCTGGGCAACGGTAAAACGGGTCATCACCAATAGGAGCAAGTTGACGAATGTCACCCATTAAATAAATAAACAATCCACCAAAGGGTTCAGCATTACCCTTGGCCTGACAACACCTTTCATGAATCATATGCAGTAAAGAACAACCAATCATTGAATATTCGTCAATGATTACAAATTTCACATTCTTCATCTTATCAGATAGTCTCTTAGCTGCTTCACCATTCAAATCAGCAAATTGTTGTTTACGAACAGGAATATGAAGTCCAGAGTGAACAGTTTCACCCTTTATGTTCAAAGCAGCTACACCTGTAGGACCTAATAGCATTATTGAATCAAATCCAAGTTCAGTTTTGATTTTATATGTCATATACTTAATAATCAATGATTTTCCTGTTCCTGTAACAAACAACACAGTTACAATACCTACAACACCAAGTAATAATAACAACCAATTTAATACAATATGAACTCAATACCTGCTTTTCCTTGAATTATTGTTTTAAAGGGTACAGAACAATTGTTCAGTTGATTTGATTTTATTGATTCTATCTGTTGGTTCACTTGTGCAATAACATTTAACTGTTCACTGCTCAATTGATATTCATTAATATCAAAATACTCTATATTGGCATTTTCATTGTTGTATGTGCGTTTTGCAACTTGAATAAAATTTTGTAACTCATTTATTGATGCCATGTTTTCATACTTTTTAATGGCACAAGACCAATCAAATTGTAAATCAATTGGTCTTAATCCTAATTCAATATCAGGTACACTTTGATTAGGTGCCAACAAAGATGCAATCATAGCTTCATCTAGATTATGATCTTCATCACCAACATCTTCTTTTTCAAAATCATTTTCATTTTGTAATTGCTCCATAGAACTAACATTCAAATTCAACTGGTGTTGATGTGAAACATTTTTAGAAGTGCACAGATTGGACCAAGAAGAACCTTCAGGCAAAATTAAACATTCACCATCCCATGGAATGTGTAAATGTGCAAGTTGTTTATAATACTTTTCATATTCTTCATTATTTGAGCCTAATTTGAGTTTAGAAAAACTTCTTACAATGTTTTTTTTTCCTAATCTTCTTGGACCAAGTACATAAATTATAATTTTGACAAACTTGAAATAAAGACACATCTTTTAAATGACTCGGTCTTTTTCTATATTTTTCAATAGAAGACAATCCAATTTTCTCATTTTTGTTATTTTGAACTAAAGTCCACTCTTCATTTGAAAAATTAATACAAATAAAAGATCTTGCACCTGTGTAATACATGAACCTACCAGATAAAAGATGGCACACTTCTTGTGCAGAATAGTCACGATCAGAACAGGTTCTTATGTACAACCTTCTTAAAGGTTTAAGTACTTCATCATCATCACCACAAGTGGAAAGTATGTTGCCTATTAACTCATTTAATGCAACAGATTTTGTTTCACATTTAGAAATGTACTTGGCAAGATATTGTAATAATGCAGCTTTAGATAATACAGGAGAAATGTCCATTTTAGCTCTCCACGTACGTAAAATAAAAGGATTGAACTTGTTGAGATACATATCGTTCCGAGCAGGAAAAAAATTCAAATGACCAGCATCATCTACTCTTATAACACCTTTCTCTTCTATATTAAATGGATAGTGAAAGCGACATTGTTTCTTCTTAGTTTTTTTGTTCATTCGCTGACAATAGTCAGGTGAACATTTATGCCTCTGGACTTTCACTAGCAAATGAGCTAAATCATCATCAGGATTTAGATTGTTGGAGCAATATGTTGTTCTACATGGGTGCTCAGTCGAAGCATTAAAATTTGGATCGGGGTTGACTGCAGTAATAAAAGAACTAAAATAATCTGCAACTTCTTGTAACTGTTCACTGTCAGTGGGATCAATATTTGACACATCTACAGCTCCCTCCGACCAAAATATTCCATGCATATGAGGACTACCCCTGTAGAAACAAACATACATTATAACAAAATTATACCTATCAATTCAAACATTATTTTAGAAAATAACTCAAAAACCATACCTGTGCTGGTATTCAATACGGTACCACATGTCTTTTATTTTGAACTTAGGCTTCAACACCTGTCAATCACAAGTACAAAAAACATCACACATCACAATATAGTTTCAAAATTACCTAAATTATAATTCAAAAAATTTAATTAAAAAAATACTACACACCTTGTCAATATATATATCCAATTTTTCATGAAAAAATGCATCGACTGCAAGAGGATTGTTCTGAATAAGTTCACGTCTTTGTTTTTCAGTCAAATTGGTTACATCATCTTGGCCAGTCAGAATTCTGAAAAGTTCTGGCCAGTGATGATCAGCGCAACTCAAAGTTAGAAAAAACGTTGGTAAGCCTAAATTTTCCACCATGTCAGTTAGTTCAGCTGATCTAGCTGCCCAAAAAGGCTTACTACCTCTTATGTTGGAATTTTGGTACATAATCTTCTTCATTATATTTGGATTAGTCTTCATTAAATCTTTCAAATCAGCCACAGTAATATTTTCAAATTCTGTATTATTTTTAATGAAAATTGAACCATTGGTACAAGCAGTCCAACGCATGTATGAATTCAAGGCAAAAAACCTAAATGTTGTATGACGAGCAAACCGCTCATCATGGTAAAAAAGTAAATGTTTAAAATAATCTGCAGCATCTACTTTCTTCTCTCTTGCATCTCGCAAGTCAGCTGAACCATAACAAAATAATGTAGGAA